CTGAGAAGGAGGCTAGTTCACCAACACAGGAGCCAGATATATGGAGAAACGTGACTCAAAGAAGTAGGAGGCCCAGGGTTCGCTCTGATTGTTTAGAAATACACAATCGCTTTGAGGTCCTCTCCCCTAGCATGGAAGACGAAGAGTAGACTCCATTTGAGGATCTCTCCTCATTACAGTCGATCAGGTATATGAAGACGAGCAGCAAAGTCAGTCCTCAGGGAATGTGCAGGCGACCTTGGAACGGACAGCTCACGGAAGAACCCCGACCAAACCTAAGAGGAGGCGTGTAGTGGTGATAGGGGATTCCCTACTGAGGGGAACCAGAAGCAGTGATCTGTGGGCCTGACAAGATGTCTCGGGAAGTGTGCTGTCTCCCCGGGGCTAAGATCCAAGATGTAACTGAACGAATGCAAGGAATCATAAAACCCACTGACAAATACCCCTTCCTCTTGGTTCATGTGGGAACCAATGACACTGCAAGCAATAGCCTCCAGAAGATCAAAAGAGACTACGAGGCTCTGGGCAGGAAATTGAAGCAATTAAATGCACAAATTGTCATCTCATCTGTCCTCCCAGTTGAACGACGTGGCCCAGGGAGAGAGGGAAAAATAGTGGAAGTGAACAGCTGGCTTCGCAAATGGTGTAAATAGGAACGGTTTGGATTCTTAGATCACGGACTGCAGTTTCTTGAAGATGGACTTCTGGCAAGCGATGGGCTGCACCTCACAACGGTTGGGAGAAATGTTTTTGCCAAAAATCTCAGAAACCTCATCAGGAGGGCTTTAAACTGACTAATGTGGGGAGGGAGACAGTGCTCCTGAAGGTAGGAGTCTATCAATTGATGAAGATGATCATCCAAATGTCATAGACCAAATGGAGCAAACAGCACGCAGACCTAGTGGTGGGAGGAAAAAATCCTTAAATAAGAGACACGGGGAATGATTAATGGACTTCAATGTCTGTACACTAATGCGCAAAGCATGGGAAATAAACAAGATGAGCTTGAGCTCTTGGTACAGCAAACTAAATATGACATAATAGGCATCACTGAAACCTGGTGGGATAAGTCCCATGATTGGAATGTAATAATGGAGGGATACAATTTATTTCAGAGAAACAGACCAGACAAGAAAGGAGGAGGAGTGGCGTTATATGTCAGGGATGTGTATGCCTGTGAAGAGATCCAAGATTTAGAACCTCAAAGCCAAAGTGAGAGCATTTGGGTCAAAATTAAGGGAGAGAAGAATAACAGTGACCTCACTGTGGGAGTTTACTATAGATCCCCAAGCCAAACGGAGGACATAGATGATGCCTTCCTGGAACAGATGGCCAAGCATGCAAAAGGAAGGGAGATAGTAGTAATGGGGACTTCAATTACCCGGATATTTGTTGGATGTCAAACTCAGCCAAGAGCATAAGGTCAAACAGATTCCTCACTGGCCTTGCAGACAACTTCATTGTCCAGAAAGTGGGAGAAGCAACAAGAGGAACAGCCATTTTAGATCTGGTCCTAACCAATGTTGATGACCTGGTTAGTGGGGTAGAAGTGGAAGGATCATTAGGCGCGAGTGATCATGCTCTTCTGAAGTTTACTATACAGTGGAAAGGAGCAGCCAAGCATACTAGGACTCAGTTTCTTGACTTTAAGAAAGCCGACTTCATAAAACTTAGGGAAGTGCTGGGTGAGATCCCATGGACAGTAATACTAAAAGGAAAGGGAGTTCATGGTGGCTGGGAGTTTGTTAAGAGGGAGATAGTAAAAGCACAACGTCAGGCAATACCAATGAGACGGAAACATGGAAGGTGCCTAAAGAAGCCAGGGTGGCTATCTAAAGAACTTTTAACTGAGTTAAGATTTTAAAAAGGATGTGTACAAAAAATGGAAAAGGGGGGAAACCACCAAAGAGGAATTCAAACAAATAGCCAACACGTGTAGACACAAAGTCAGAAAAGCTAAAGCACAGAATGAACTCAGGCTTGCTAGAGAGGTTAAAAGCAACAAAAAGGCTTTTATGGGTATGTTCGTAGCAAAAGGAAGAACAAAGAAACAGTGGGGTCACTCAGAGGAGAAGATGGTGAAATGCAAACAGGGGACACAGAAAGGGCTGAACTCCTCAATGCCTTCTTTGCCTCAGTCTTCTCCGATAAAGAAAACAATGCCCGACCTGAAGAATTTGGAGCAAATGATTCAGCAGAGGAAACACAGCCCAGAATAACTAAGGAGATAGTACATGAATACTTGGCTAGTTTAGATGTATTCAAGTCTCCAGGACCAGATGAACTGCATCCAAGAGTATTAAAAGAACTGGCAGATGTGATCTCAGAACCACTGGCAGTCATCTTTGAGAATTCCTGGAGAACAGGCGAAGTCCCGGCAGACTGGAGGAGGGCAAATGTTGTCCCTATTTTCAAAAAGGGGAAAAGAGAGGACCCAAATAATTACCGCCCAGTCAGTCTGACATCAATACCAGGGAAGATTCTGGAGCAGATCATTAAGCAAACAGTCTGTGAGCACCTAGAAAGGAATGCTGTGATCACCAATAGTCAGCATGGATTTCTGAAAAATAAGTCATGTCAGACTAACCTGATCTCGTTTTTTGACAGAATTACAAGCCTGGTAGATGAAGGGAACGCAGTGGATGTAGCCTACCTTGATTTCAGCAAGGCATTTGACAAGGTGCCCCATGATATTCTTGTAAAGAAGCTGGTAAAATGCGGGCTTGACTATGCTACCACTCAGTGGATTTGTAACTGGCTGACTGACCAAACCCAAAGGGTGCTCATCAATGGTTCCTCTTCATCCTGGAGAAGAGTGACTAGTGGAGTGCCACAGGGTTCTGTCTTGGGCCCGGTCTTATTCAACATCTTTATCAACGACTTGGATGATAGACTCAAGGGCATCCTGATCAAATTTGCAGATGACACCAAACTGGGAGGGGTGGCTAACACCCCAGAGGACAGGATCACACTTCAAAACGACCTTGACAGATTAGAGAACTGGGCCAAAACAAACAAGATGAATTTTAACAGGGAGAAATGTAAAGTATTGCACTTGGGCAAAAAAATGAGAGGCACAAATACAAGATGGGTGACACCTGGCTTGAGAGCAGTACATGTGAAAAGGATCTAGGAGTCTTGGTTGACCACAAACTTGACATGAGCCAACAGTGTGACGCGGCAGCTAAAAAGCCAATGCAATTCTGGGCTGCATCAATAGGAGTATAGCATCTAGATCAAGGGAAGTAATAGTGCCACTGTATTCTGCTCTGGTCAGACCTCACCTGGAGTACTGTGTCCAGTTCTGGGCACCACAGTTCAAGAAGGACACTGACAAACTGGACCGTGTCCAGAGGAGGGCAACCAAAATGGTCAAAGGCCTGGAAACGATGCCTTATGAGGAACGGCTAAGGAGCTGGGCATGTTTAGCCTGGAGAAGAGGAGGTTAAGGGGTGATATGATAGCCATGTTCAAATATATAAAAGGATGTCACATAGAGGAGGGAGAAAGGTTGTTTTCTGCTGCTCCAGAGAAGCGGACACGGAGCAATGGATCCAAACTACAAGAAAGAAGATTCCACCTAAACATTAGGAAGAACTTCCTGACAGTAAGAGCTGTTCGACAGTGGAATTTGCTGCCAAGGAGTGTGGTGGAGTCTCCTTCTTTGGAGCTCTTTAAGCAGAGGCTTGACAACCATATGTCAGGAGTGCTCTGATGGTGTTTCCTGCTTGGCAGGGGGTTGGACTCGATGGCCCTTGTGGTCTCTTCCAACTCTATGATTCGATGATTCTATGATTCTAAGATGGTGGTGGTCATGCCAAAATTGCATCAGACATCGGAGGTGGGCCTTGGCTGGGGCATTAACAGATGCTGCCTTTTCCCCTGACTGGGACTCAAGGCAGCTTACGGATAAAAATACAAATCACAGATAAAATACAAAAAGCTAAAAGCATGAAGGAGAAAATCATTAAAAAGTAATTAAACCCTAATATAATTTTTAAAAATATAAACACATATCTATTAAAATACATATAATAAAAACACCACAGCACGATTAAAACTCATTCCTTTAAAAGCAGTCAATTCCCCAAAGCCTGTTGGAACAAGCAAGTCTTCACCAGTTGGTGGAAATGCAAGGAAGAAGCCAGTCTAGCTTCTCTAGGAAGGGAGCTCCAAAGTTTGGGAGCAGCCATCAAGAAGGCCCTCCCCCATGCCCCTACCAAGTGTGCCAGTACTTTCCCTCCTCATTTGAGCCTCACAACCCTGCGAAGTAGGTTAGGAGGCTACAGCTACAAGGAGTGGTATATAGGGCGGGGATGGCGAATTATTTTTCCAGCCCAAGGACCTCATTCCCTCAAGGGTCAGCTTCTGAGGTGGGGGTGCCAGTGGTGGGCAGAGCCTGAGGCAAAATGTGGGCGGAGCAGAATATGCGAGTTAGTGGACCAATGATCTGACCAGTTAAAATGCAGCTTTCTATGCTTTTACAGGAGCAAGGAAGAAGGAACTGGATAGGATGATAATCATTATATCATGTCTAGCCTGTGAGCTGCTGAGGCACATGCTTGACCAGAACACTTGGCTAGATGGACCTTTGGTCTAATCCAGCAGTGCTCTCCTCCTCCTTTCCTGCTTTGTGGGCTGCATGGTGCCTTTTAATGGCTCAAAGGTATGCATTGTCATTGTTCTGTAGACTGGAGGATGCTCTTAAATGACTGCTGGCAACAGGGATGAGTGTTTGATAGTACAGCAGTTCAGCTGTTGCCTGGGAGACCGATCCACTTCAGCACAGAAGATCTGGGACAAACTCCCCCACAGCTCAAGGGAAGACCTACAGCTAGGCACAGAAAATCCCCAAAGAACTTAGGGGAAATCCTTGAGGGGGGGGGGAGTCATAGAAGCATAGAGCTGGAAGGTTTCCTCAGCTCTTCCACAACGTTTCCTCTGGCTTTCATTCTTACACTAGTAGTAGCTCTCCAAGGTTTCAGGCAGGTGTCTCCATCGGTCCTACCTGGACATGTTGGGGATTGAACCTGGGACCATCTCCACACAGAGCAGATGCTCTATCACTGAGCCATGACTCTTTCGGCAAAGAACTAAAGGCAACGGTCTCCCATTCAAGCATGGACCACTGAGTCAAGACATTGGTCCATCCAACCTAGTACTGTCTACGCGGCCTGGCAGCAGCTCTTTAGGATTTCAGGTCGGGGGCTGTGAAAATGGGTGGGATGGCATTTCATCTCAGTTCTGTAGTGACCCATAAATATGGAATTGCCTATCCTGTCTGCACAATCCAATCGGCACTTCTAAAAGAAAAAGCACCAGGTCCCTTAGCACAGATCCTGATCCAGCCACAGATACTTGCCTGATTAGACTTGTGGTGGGTGGAGAGAAGTGGTGTCTAATTTGCCCAGAAAACTGATTAGCAACCAATAAATGTAATGGGGCCTAAATGCAGTGCTTTCCAAGCTTGATGACTTCAATTAAATCACACAGCCCACTGAGTAATTCTGCAGGGGACGTCACTCAAGACTGGTCTCCATAGCAACTCCTACCCACTCCAAAAAAAATAAAAAAATAAACAGCCCCTCTATCTGGCATCAGCAGGGTGTGATGAAACACCAAGATGCAAAAAAGAAAAGGAAAGTTGAGTTGGGGTGAGGAGGGAACATCAGCCTTAATATCGCTCTTTCAGCACTTTAACCGCTGATTATCTCACAATGTAGAATTCAGATTAAAATCTTTCCCCTCTTGAATTGCTTTCAGACCCTAATTTGGAATGCTGAAGCAACAGGGAGGCTTAAGGGCTTGCCACAGAGTGGGGGGGGGGAGCTTTAATAGAAATGAATTTTGCACTGTCTTCTTACTAACTCATCTCCTGATATGCCATCCCTGTGAGGCTCATAACGAGGCCTGACTTCATAAGCAAGAGAGAGTAGCTTTAAAAATGCAGGCAAAGGGCCTTCATTGCCAGGAGTATATTTTAAAACAAATATCACGGGGTTCAAAGCTTGAAAAAGTACATGCTGTATAACTGCCCTTATCACCCACTTAGGACCAAGCAACTTAAGACAGTTTTTGCCTGTATAGTACCAAACCTCTATAGCACAGAGGGCTATTTCAAAGAACAAGGTTCCAGCTTTGATTGCATGAAAGCAAATTTGGCCTGTCTTGGGAGCAACATGGGGATTTAGGAGACTTTTAATGAGCCATTTGGCCCATCTAGTCCAGCACCCTGTTCTCACAGTGGCCAACCAAGTGCCCATTACTGCCTCTGATGGTGGAGACAAAGCATAGCCACCATGGCTAGTAGCCACCAATAGTCTTCGCGATTAATTCGTCTTTTGAAGCCATCCAAGTTGGAGGCCATCCTTTAAAAACAGATTGGGTGGTTCTGACTTGAATGAGTTTTGCTTGAATTGTCCTGCCCCTTGCTTTGAGCACCTACGTATGAACGCCACTCATGAAGGTTTTTAAAAAACCAACTAACAGTATGCAAAACTATCTGAAAAAGTGTGTTATATATGTAAAATAGTCATACCCCAGGCAGCAATATATTCCTACGGCATAATTTTATACATATATTCATACCTACACATTTTTATACAGTGATATGCATTGTTGTATGCATCTGTTTATATGCTAGTTCCTTTAGCAAACATGGAGTGTATTTGTATTTAATATTATACCTATAATAAACAAGAACTGTCTGTATTTTTAGCAGAACCAGAAAGTGGGTGAGGGGGAGCTTGCTTCTCTCCTAGATTAAAGGGCGAGATTGATATTAGAAAAAATCTGCCGAGATAAGACTGACATTCATATTTCCAGCTGTGCTGGCTGTTCTTGATAGGAATGACAGGTCAAAACATCTGGAGGGTACCAGGTTGGGGGGAGGAGGCCAAGCTACAAAATATGATCTCATGGTGGGGGCAAAGACCAGGTAAACCCATCTTCATCTACCTGCTTAACTGCAAGTTTAATCTGCTGTGAGTCATTTATCTGAGCTGCTGAACATGGGCTAGGTGTGAGATTAATGTGTGTGATTAAAGCAGTGCTTAGTCTATATCTCACTTTGGGACAGGCATTATTCATCCACTACACAACTCTCCAGGGACAAAGGATGTTTAATGCACAAGTTTAAGACACACATTTTGTTAAGGGCCCCCTCTTGGGGAAGAGGAGCAGCTTCCTGTCTCTTGGGGAGGAGAGGCCATTTCCTGGTTTATAATCTGTGCCCCTGTCCCTGCTCCATACAGACCCATTCACACGACACAAAAATTGATATCATAGAATTAATCCCCACTGAGTGGCCACAAGCATAACTTGGAGAGAGGAGTAAAACTGCCCTTGACAAACTAAGCTAGAAGGACCAATGGGTTGACGCAATACAGTGGTACCTCTGGTTAAGAACTTAATTCGTTCTGGAGCCCCGTTCTTAACCTGAAACTGTTCTTAACCTGAGGTACCACTTTAGCTAATGGGGCCGCCCGCTGCCGCCGTGCAATTTCTGTTCTCATCCTGAGATAAAGTTCTTAACCCGAGGTACTATTTCTGGGTTAGCGGAGTCTGTAACCTGAAGTGTATGTAACCTGAGGTACCACTGTACATGGCATCTTCTTTTGTTCCTATGTTAAGCAGCCTCTTTCTCCACCTCCTGCTTTTCTAGTCCTCACTGCAGCCTCCAAGGCTGCTTTTCTCGTATACAGTATATATAATAACTGTCTGGGGAAAGAGAGACAGGACTGTGTGTCATGTCTAGTTTGGCTCATAGATTGTAAGTATGAGGGCAAAGCTGGTGTCTTATTTTGATTAATCGACAGAGCCCAGTTAGCATTAAAATACATTACTGTCATCATCATGATAGCAAGGAATAGAACACCTTGTGAACTACAAAACTGCCCACCAATCGCATACAGCCACTCTCTAGGGGCTTGAAGAAAACCTCCTGATTTTGTGCCTGTTTTGGATTGCAAATGGGGAAAAAATATACACACCCTGCGCGTGAGCACAGGCACAAGTGAAACACCTGCAAGTAACACTAATCACATACATTTATTCAAAGTGTTGTATGCAAGTTACACTGACTTTTAGTTAGGGTCACCTTATTTCAAGAAGCAAAAATCCAGACACAAAAGTTTTTGAGCTATTTTTAAGAAAATCTACACTTCCGACATGGGTTGTCAAATGTCTGGATTTTCCCATACATTTCAGCGATTTTCACCCGATGGCTGAATGTCCAGGAAATTCTGGATTTATGGTAGCCCTATTTTAGTTCCCTTCTAGGCACAAATTAAGGTGCCGGTTATTATAAAGCCCTAAATGGTTTGGAAGCAGGATACTGCATGGATCACCCTCTTAAAGCGATCCAAGTTGGGGGCCTATCTCTTGTGGGAGCAAGTTCCATAGTTTAACTACGCATTGTGTGGATAAGTACTTTATTTTATCTGTCCTGAACTTTGCAACATTTAGCTCTGTTGGATGTCCAAAATTCTAGCATTATGGGAGAGAGAGAAGAACCTCTTCTTTAGCTACGTTCTCCATACCATGCAAAGGACACCCTGACTTGAACCCTTATCCTCCATGAATTTTAAAGCCATCTATGCTAGTGGCCATCACTGCATCTTGTGGTGGCCAATTCCATCGTTTAACTGTGTGACCAAGTTCTTCCTTTTGCCTGTCCTGAATCATCCTGTTTTCACCTCCATTGGCAGCCTTGAGTTCTAGCATTACAGGAGAGGGAGAAAATTTTTCTCTATCCACTTTCTCCAGCAAGTGCTATCCTGTCATTTGCCACAGGCCACCTCTCCCTTGGAAGCACCGGTTGCGCACATATTTCCCTGACGGAAAAGCGGAACGTGAGTGTTTGCAGAGCCCCGTCGCCTTCCTGAGATCCTCTTGCTCTACTGCATTTGAATGCCTGCTTTCTGTAGCAGCAGCTTTGTATTCCACCCACCCTCAGCCTCAGCCCATTAACATTCTATTCATCTACCTGCACCTATGCAATTATAACTCACTGTATCCACTTTTCATATGGAAGTGGAGCTGGCAAAGCAAGAGCGCTGCCTTCTCCATCAGGTCGCTTTGCATCTGGATGTCAGTCATAATAACCTTAGTATGTCGTTTCTGGCAATAGGTCTCTTTGCCTTGAGCTGGATATTAAATGTCCTCTGGATAGCAAGCCAACCTTGATCGGGGGATGGGTTCTGTAGGAGGAGCAGGAGACCCACATGCATCTCAATGATGTTTGTTTTCAAGAATCAAGGAGACCTCTGCTTTGAATTTCAGCTTGAATACCAAAGGATGCTTCCCGGCATTACCATTTCATAATGCAAGTTCCCCATCATAATCACTGGGTGAATGTTGTTCATCAAGAGCTGTGATGGGAGTGTTATGAAAGAGGCTTGCTGGAGAAATGCACAGAGCAATTCAGGCAACTACAGTGACTTCAGCACAGAGATTTCATGGATGGTCCTCACTCGGCATGCAAAGTGGCTTGTTCTCATGGTGCATAGTTAAGCTCTGGCATTCACTCTCAAGAGATGTAGTGATGACCAGCAGGTTGGATGGCTTTAAAGGAGGAATAGATCAATTTCATGGAGGATAATGCTATTAATGGCCACTTGCCATGATGACTATGTTCTCCCTCCACTGTCAGAGGTAGCAGGTCTCCAAACACCAGTTGGTGGGAATCATAAATGAAATGTGTGCTATTGCACATAGGTCCTACTTGTGGGCAGCAGTAAAACTGCTGGCACATTTGCAAAGCTAAGCAGGGTCCAGTATGGTTTCAAACTGGATGGGGGACTTTGTGTTGAGATTCCTACATTGAAGGGAGTTGGACTTGATGACCCTTGGGGGCCCTTCCACCTCTACAATTCTATGATCTGGTTGGTGACTGTGAGAACAGGATTCTGGACTAGATCAGCTTTGGCCTGATCCAGCTGCAGGCTTCTTTTTATGTTGACTACCTCTAAAGCAAATTCAACAGCAGATCAATAGGCAGTGACGAGTCTTCCCCAAGCAGCAAAACTTACAGCGCTATAAAGAGTTGCAGGTTTATTGTGGCATAAACTTTCATGGA